AAGAAGATACCTTTCTTCGCATGGTTGCCGCTTAGAAAGTAAGTCTCGAACTATTTAACCCTTTGCACTCGAAAGTTTTTCACTAGAAATATTCCATGTTCTCCGATGAAATACGGACGATGATTTTTGAAGCTAATTAATGAGAAAATATGTATAAATTAACAGTAAAACCACCAAACAGGTCAAAACCATTCCTGATTCTTTCTTTTCGTAATTATTAAAATGATAAATGTTTCTCTAAGAAATTATTAAAGAAATTAGTTTTAAAATGCGGAAGCGATTAGGTGTGTATGCAAAAAATTAATAAGAGTAGTTATCTAACGAGATCACAAATATTGTGTTATTACAAAGAAATATCAAAAAATAACATTTATTCAAATAAATTTACTTTGATTTATTTGTTGAAGAATATAGTAAGAAAATTATAATTAATACTGATAAACCTCCGCGCTCCCAATTTTGGCACAACACAAGAGCGCTATAGCGCTTCTCAGCACTCAAACGGTTGAAACTACATATACAAGACTTTACAATTTTGCAAGTCAAATGAAAATTTTGCAAAGGATTAAAAACACCGAGGAGCTCCAGTCGAAAATTCGCATCGATGGCTACGTCTCCTTGGTACGCTCGTAAATTCATTTACCTCTCTCGACGTTCGGCGTTCTTCTCTCTCTAAAAATGCAAATTTCGCAAGATTCTCGCTCGCATAAAGCTTTATTACCATCTTACCGTAACTTTATTACGTTATTACTCTGTTACAAGCATCGACTCGCCATTATGCAAACCAGATTTCCCCAAGCGATGTAAAGAATCAAGTACAGCCTCTGATCAAGGAGATCAACGAATGTCGTCTCCGAGTTCCTTCGCTCGGTACCTCTGCTTGCGATGAAATCATATTACTAAATTACAAGTAACCTCACTAGCTTCTCTTCGTCGCAGATTATCTTCGGAACGATAAGGAATAACAAAAAGTTCCAACAAATACCCTCTCACGTCTATAAGATTGCAAAATGAATCACGAGGCACACGCGTTTCAAAATTCTTCGAGTCTGCTTCAACTACCTTTATTAATCAGTTGGAAATAATGTCATTTTCGAATCCGTTCGAACACCTCTCTACCTCATATCCTATGCATAAAATCTGCATTACTCGTCGAAATGCATAAAATCTGCATTACGAGCCGACAGCACACGTGCGTCGCAGGTTGCGCGAGTCTCGTTGCGACTCTCGATACGACTGCGGCGAGGCTCGTCCCGGCGATCCGTCATCGAGACGATAAAAAAATAATCTTCGGATCCGTCGGGACGCCGCCTAGCTCGCTTCTCCTGTTAATTATTTCCTCGTTAACGACACTGGGCACGACAACAAGCGCGCCTCTGTGCCCCCGGATGTAGCGCTTTTTCATGCACGGCCATTGTTACGCGATAATGATCCGCCCGGCTCGCGAGAACTCTCGGGCAACTCGAGCGGCTGATTTCCCGGGACTCCGGTAAATACTTTGTTGCTTCGCGGAGAAGTTTTCTTCGCCGGCGAGTTTCGATTGCCCGACAAGCCGCGGAAAAGTATGAACCGCGAGGACCGCTTTCGTTCCGGCAGACCGTGAGTACACATTTTAACCGTTTGAGTGCTCAGCAGCGCTATAGCGCTCTTGTGTTGTGCCAAAATTGAGAGCGCGGAGGCGCTGTTTACCAGTATCAATTATAATTTTCTTACTATATTCTTCAAGAAATGAATAAAAGTAAATTTATTTGAATAAATGTTGTTTTTTGATATTTTTTGTAATAACACAATATTTGTGATCTCGTTAGATAAGTACTCTTATTAATTTTTTTGCATACACACCCAATAATTTCCGCATTTTTGTTAAGTATCCACAGAAGTTGTTTTTCCAAACGATTGAAGTTGGGTATTGGAGTTCTCGAAGGCGTTTCCGGTTTTGCGATGTTCGTGGAGCAAGCTGGAGATCGTAGGAAACTGATGGGAATCTATGAGGAAACGTTTAGGTCGACGGAACGAGAATGTAAAGTAATTGGATGGAATGATTGACGGGTTGATTGCTGCGAGTACGAGGTTTATGCGAATACCTAACACTTATTTTTCCGTCGTGAAGATAAAAGAGTTGTTACTGATAACTTATTAGCTAAGTATCGCATATCTCGTGTTGTACTATTATCTAGTTACCGAGGGTATTAAAAATCATTGGATATCTTGTATACTTCTTGTACATTTCATTGTTTTCAATTCGGAGGTAATTCGTAGTTAATTGAGTCGGTCATTGGTGATCCGTCTATGTCAGTCAACGTGTTATGTATTCAGTGTGCTGAATAGTTTTAACCCTTTGCGGACGAAGATTCTTCGAAATGTACAAAACCTTCGAGAGGAATAGATAAATTGTATATCAATCGCTTGATTAATAGAAAAAAGGGAAATTACGTGCTGATCTCTTGCTGTTCGAGTAATTAAATCATTTGTTTGCGACTTATTTTTCCAAATATGGACACTTCATCTCGTCGAAATGTCGACGTTCGTCCGGAAAGGGTTAATATTCGTATTAGAACGAATATATTTTGTAACTTCGAAATTATAGGAACGTCGAACTTTCACGTCACAGCGTATAAAAGTTCAAGCTAGTTAATTACTGTTAATACCGAATATTTTATATCATTTCGATTGAAATAGTCGTCAGATTTACCCGAAAACCTTCAGCAGATGAAGTTAAATTATATATCGATTGCTTAAATAATAGAAAGAAAGGAAATTATACACTGATCTCTTGCTGTTTGAGTAATTAAATCATTTGTTTGCGACTTACTTTTCCAAATATGGACATTTGATCTCGCCGAAATCTCGACATTCGTCCGCAAAGGGTTATAATTTCGTTTACTTATCAAAGCTTTCTATATAGCTTTACACATGAAATTCCAAGAACTGAGAAATCCAACATTTATTTTTAACATCGTGATTGTTTTCATCCTTGAAAATTCTTCTCTAGCTTTATTTATAATATTTATTGAATACTCTTATTCTCGATTTACTTTAATGTTCGAACATTTATCATTCGCATCGAAATATCCCTCGGGTTCACCCGACAATCGATTGCCGACTTACAAACTAAGTTCAACCGTAATTCCGTTTATTCCTCAAATAACGGTTTAACCCTAGAAAAAAAAACGTCGGCCGCCAATGAAGGTTTTTCACGAAACCGCGCTGCCTGTAACGTGTTAATCAGCGTCACTCGATAGCAAGAGAACCTGCGAAGGGTCGACGGTTGTTAACGCGGCGCGCGCGCGGCTCGGACAAAGCGCTTCCTGCCGAGGAAGTTTAATTATTATAAAATCGCGTGCGCGTCGCCGGGCAATCGTCGACGCGGTCGTCCGGGAAATATTCCGTGATCCCACGCGCGACGTTTCGCTCTTCTAAAACGTCGCGTCGCGTCGCGTCGCGTCGCTGCGAAGACGACCGGTTCGGGGAAGCAATTTACTTCCTCAGCTTCGGCTCGCGACGAAATCCGCAGTCGCTCGCGCGATCGACGGTAATAAGGAGCGAATCGGTATCGTAGAAATCGCGAACCTTGTTCGGTTGTTTTTAATAGTTCTAATAAATCTATGGAACATTATCGGATGACCAGTCTCTGTTTAGAATGATTCAGTAACGATAAGGAAGCTGCGCCGTAAGCTCTGAATCATAGCGACCGGCTTTTGGTCGTTCGACCTTTGACCATCGAATCATTAAGGTACGAAAGCGGAATTGAATCATCCGGGATAATATTACTTAAGGTCCGAATTGCGTTGTTCGAGTTGTCAGACACGTATTTTCTTTCCTCGGAGCGTCGATGGCTTTCGGTCTGTTTAACGTTATTTTGTTGGATTTAATTAATCTAGGAAAGTTTCTAGATCGGTTTTGGATTGTTCCTTCGATAGGATGAGTTTAACCTCATGATCTATGATTTATTTCTTAACTATGATCGATGAAAATACGTTATCGTTGATAATTGATCAGGAAAAGACCCAAAATGCACACTTCAAATTTGTATGATGATCGCGAGCTCAACAGGGATCGCAGAAATGTAAACGTATAGTATCGGTGACTTTCATTCTATTTAACACTAGAACTACCGAGCATTTAACATGATTGATATGCAATCTCTATAAAAATCGTAACAATAGATTATTTTTAGTTTCTTTGGATATTCATCATAGTACTCAAGTGAAACTATTTATTTTTAAAATCATTTCAAATATTCATTGCTTTTAAGGTACTGATAACTTGCGAACAAACAAATCGAAACCAGTCATTTTGACTGGTACGGTCTAGTGTTAATGTCATTTTGTTAGGTATTTACAGTGGCGTTGAAAAGTTTCTAGATTGATTTTTAATTGTTCCTTCGATAGAATGAGTTTAACCTCATGATCTATGATTTATTTCTTAACTATGATCCGTGCAAATACGTTATCGTTAATAATTGATCACGAAAAGACCCAAAATGCACAATTTAAGTTTATATATGATGATCGCGAGCTCAACAGGGATCGCAGAAACGTGAACGCACAGCATCAATAATTAAATATCTACAGTGGCGTTTAAAAGTTTCTAGATCGGTTTTAGATTGTTCCTTCGATAGGATGAGTTTAACCTCATGATCTATGATTTATTTCTTAGCTATGATCAATATAAATACGTTATCGTTAATATTTGATCAGGAAAAGACCCAAAATGCACACGTCAAATTTATATGATGATCGCGAGTTCGCTCAACATCGCAGAAACTATGATTCATACAAATACGTTATCGTTAATACTTGATCAGAGTTAATAATTGAAAAGGCCCAAAATGCACACGTCAAGTTTATATATGATCGCGAGCTCAACAGGGATCGCAGAAACGTGAACAGCTATGCGAACGCATAGCAAGACGATCCGCGGGCTAGGACGCACTCCGAACGGATCCCAGTCACTTTGTATTCACGTTTCACGTGTTCTCGTTCGATTTGTTTTTTTAGACCGTGGATGCAGCCGGGTATTGGAGGCGGAGGTGGCGCGGCCCACGCAGGTGGGACAGGTGACGACGAGGCTCCGAAAGATCCCGGGGTTCGGATCACCCATCAGTCTTACACCGAGAAAGATTACGAAGGTACCGAAGCTTCTTTCGCTTGCATCGTTCTCCGGCTATTGGATAACGGTCGATCGCGTCGATCTTCGATCGGCCCTGCTTTCCGCTAATTCCCCGGGCTACTCGATGATCCATTCATCTACGAAACACACTGCTCCGCGAGATTAGAGGATCCGCGAACTGTAATCGGAGAATCGACGATCTCCGATCTCCTGTAACTTTGTGAGAGAAACTTCTGTTTGATTAGGCTCGTTTAGAAACATGAAGCTTCTTATTTCGCAAACCACAGTTTCTAATGTGTTTTATTTACGTAAGAAACTCTCCCATTTTCAGTATTGTAGATATTCAGATTTTGGGATATTGAAAGATTGTTTCCGAGACTTAACACTAGAACTACCGAGCATTTAATACGATTAATATGCAATTACCATAAAAATTGTAACAGTAGATTATTTTCAGTTTCTTCGGACATTCATTATAGTACTGAAATGAAAGTACTTTCAAAATCATTTCAAATATTCAATGCTTCGAGGATATCAATAATTGCTAAACAAAAAAATCGAAATCAGTCATTTTGACTGATACGGTAGTTCTAGTGTTAATTCATTATAGATTTATAGATTAGAGTATCTTTATAATCCCTGAAAAATTTATCTACGATGTTTGTCGTTTTGTAATCTTTTCTGTACATAACAAATGAACTTTCCCATTTTCAAAATTCCACATATTCAGATTTCGTCTGGGTCGTTAAAAGATTGTTTTCGAAACTCAACTCATAGATTTATAGATTAGAGTATCTTTATAATCCCTGAGAAATTTATCTACAACGTTTGTCATTTTATCAAATTTTACACACGACATTTTATCGCAAAGTCACAGGAGCGCAAAGATCGACGATTTCCCGGTTACAGTCCGGTCCTTTAATTCCCGGCGGCGCAGCAGTTTTAAAATCGACTCGCCGATCACGCCTGTCCGCGCGTCTAGGTCAATCGGATGCGAACACGAATCCGGCTTCGATGTTTGTCCATCGGGAGCGTCGGACCGCCGCGACGGTGCTTCGAAAATCATTATTCCCCGTTGAACGGGGTCGCGATCCTCGTCTCCGAGGTCACCTGTCCCAGCACGCGATCTTGAACCCCAGACGTCCCGGCGCACGTTGCGGCCGAACGGCCGTTTTCTGGACAAAACTCGAAAACTTGACATGTACGAGTGATATAAACAAATGATTCCGACAAAGTGGTTGTACAGTATACAGCTCAACACACGATGGTTACATTTTTGCCACGTTATGGGGATATTAAGAAGTTCAACCGATGACAATGCACATTTCGCGCTTCGATTCCAACGTTACAAAAACAAAGAAACGGGATTTCTCCGCAGAAAATGTTGATTTCTCGAATGAAAATCGTTTTGTAACATTGACTGCTTAGCAACGTATTGGTAACCTTCAATTTTCGTTACGCGAATAGTCGAATTTAAGGGTTTTGTCCACAGACGGCCGTTATCGCTGTTTTCCGCGCGGTCGATAGGCAGAAGTGAATAAGAGTCGCGGGTTTCCTGTTTAACAATGATGCTGCGACTGATTTTTCGATACGAAGTTACGACACCGTTATGGTTACGTGGTCGATAGAGAAAAACGAGTAAGAATTGCTCGTTGACATTCTATTCGCGTCACTCTCGCCGGTTAATGATGCTGTTACAGCGAATTCCTCGGTAAAGTGCGATACCTTTCTTTTTAGCGGATCGATGGTGGGAATATATAACAATTGCCCGCTGACATTATTCCGATCGTTTAATGTTCGAGCGACGATGCTGCCGCGGTCGAGTCTTCGACGTTGGATCGTGACGTTTTTCCGTTCACTTCGTTGACGGCGGGAGACGAGTAAAAATATATGAACGTCAATGGGAATGGGAGTATTCTTATCGTAATGATTCTATTCCAGTCGGTTCCTCGACACGGCATTTCCATTTTCGCGAAGTATGCGTCAGTAGCTGCTCCGCGTCCGTAACGTTGACGTCAAATCGATATCGATACGTTAAGCACGACGTTAAGCAGACAGCATCGGCAAACTCCTGAACGTTGCCAGTCAGACGCCGCGCCGCTAAGTGGGCGACAGCTTTAACCCCCGAACCCTCGAATTTCCTTGATACACAGTGTTGTTCGCGAGCTTCGAGTCGAGTGTCAGTCGTGTTGCCATTTGCTTACGAACACATCATTGCCATTCGATTCGTAGCTACGAAAGCTTTCGTCTCGCAAGAAAAATAAATCGCACTTCTGAATTTAACGCTAGAACTGACGATTATTGAAGATGCTTGCAATTAGAAATTTTCTTAGATTCTTGCTGATGTACGTTGGTGCAGGTGAAACTGGTATAAAATGATTTCGGATAATCAACTGTTACATCGGTAATAGCGAAATAAGAAAATTTTAGTGTTAACACGTTGAATGTCGTGGGGGTCACCGGTGACCCCCAACTAAATTAAATTACTATAGTTCGATTATTTGGAAACATTTCCATATTACAAATAATGCTACCTAATTTCGTGACGTTCAACTAGAAGAACGTGCAATAATAATGCAATTCAATCAAATGATTTAATATCATATTTCTTCCATTCTGTGTAATTTGCTTTATATAATCGCGCGGCGTTCAACGTGTTAAAGAAATTGATATAGTGTAGTATTATTTTCCTTGAATACGTCGAGTTGAATAGATTTGAAGAACAATATTTTACGATGAAAATCTCGGCGCACGTCCTTCGCAATGAATTTCATTAGACTGCTGAAAACAACGCGAGATTTCTTCTGTTATTCCTGTTGCTCGCAACAGACGCTTCTCATTTACATGCCGGCCGAGTGGAGGTCGAAGCGAGAAGAGTTAACTTTGCGAAGGTTCTTGGAAATATACAAAAGCTTTAGCAGACAAAGTGAAGTTATATACTAATTGTTTAAATCATAGGAAGAAAGAAAACTACGCACTGATTTCTTGCTACTTAAGTAATCAAGTCATTTGTCCGCAACTCAGTCTTCCAAATACAGAAATTTTATGTCGCCGAAATGTCGACTTTCGATGGCAAAAGGTTAAACTTTGTACAATGCGTCGGTATGAGAAACATTAAAATAAAATTCGTTTCTTAACCCTTTGCGAAGATTCTTTGAAATATTCAAAAGCTTCAACAGTTGAAGCTGAATTATCTATCAATAGCTTAATTAAATATAAAGAAAACTTCTGATCCCTTGCTGTTCGAGTAATCAAATCATTTGGCGCAACGTAGTCTTCCAAATACAGAAATTCCGTCTCGCCAAAACGTCGACATTTGACCGCAAAGGGTTAACGCGCTCCGCATTAAGTGCTTAGCCGTTTGGCTGCTAAACAACTTTGTGGATATTTACCAAAAATGCGGAAGTGATTGGATGTGTCAAAAAAATTAATAAGAGTACTTATCTAACAAGATCACAAATATTGTGTTATTATAAAAAACTATCAAAAAATAACATTTATTCAAATAAATTTACTTTTATTTCTTGAAAAACATAGTAAGAAAATTATAATTGATACTGATAAACAGAAGCGCCTCCGCGCTCTCAATTTTGGCACAACACACAACGCTATAGCGCTCCTCAGCACTCAAACGATACTACATATACAAGACTTTACAATTTTGCAAGTCAAACGAAAATTTTGCAAAGGGTTAAAAAGCAAAATACAGTTTCAAGCTAACAGAAGAAGCATCTGCTTAAAAGATTTGAACAAAAGACGATCTGGTAATTTGGGAAGCGAGAACAGTGGAAGCGATTGTTTCTCTAAAAATAGCATCAATGTATTCCTATACAAGTATCGCAATGATAATCACGCGTACGTGACAGCGGCCGGTGAAAGTGTTAAGACAGTTAGACGGTCGAACAGCGGAAAAAAGATTCGCGCCGGAGTGAGCGTTAACGGGCAGGGAATCATGACGAGAGGATTTCTATAATGGATGATCGTAGGAGCCGATAGGACGTCGCGTCGATTACGAGAGACACTCGCTCACCGAGCCCTCTTTCATCTGCTTCCAGGTCACAGAGCGCACACCGTGTACGTGGGCGTGCATCTGCCCGGCGAGAGGAGGCACCGTCGTCACCACAAGCATCATCATTCCCAACGTCAGTCGTACACCGCCGATAAGGAGAATGTCGACAACGATAGGCCCAGTAAGTTCTCGTCTCGAGTATTTCTTCGTTCCGCCGTCTCTCGGAGACGTTTCTTTTGTATTTCCCCTATTCTTCTCGGGACCCTTGATCTTTCGTCGGGAAACCTACGGGGTGGTCCTCTCGCTAGGGACCAATGACGATGTTACACGTGTGGTATTTATGGTGTTTTATGTTTTATGTTAGATAAACATAGGAATAGATAATTGAGTAAAATACGAATAAATAGAAACGATATAGCTCGCAGTGTACAGGTCTTTTCTCTCGAGTCAACGCAACTCTCTCAAAATCTCTCGCTATCACTTAACCCTTTGCACTCCGAACATTTCAAATGCCTTGATAGTTCATTTCTATAGAGAAACGTTCAAGAACTTAAAATTTTGCTTTGAAAAAGGAAAATTACAAGTATATGGATTCGCGTCCTTAAATTGTTCTGTCAATTTCCCATATTCGAACAGGAAGAAGAATTTTACAATTTGAGATTGTAACGTGACATCTGTGATGCAAATTATGTCTCTGTAGCAGAGCCAACGGAGTGCAAAGGGTTGAAAATCATTCTCTCCCCCACAAGCATTCTTCTTACTCACACTTCCAACAAATTCTCAAACGCACCCCACTCTTACCACCACGCACTCGTCATCCACGCTTACGCATCCTTCGGAAAAACCCAGCAACCCTTGGGCCTGGTCTCCATGGGTCCCTTTCTCTTTTATGGGTCTCGGAACACTCGCTGTCCCACTGTCTTAACCCTTTGAACTCTGCAGGCTCCAGTATTGCACCAGTTATAATATGAAATATTTTAATGAATCTTAAAGGAACTACCCTAAAATTATTAGATTTTGCACACATCCGAATCAGCAACTGCAACTAATTTTTATAGTATTCCTAGCGAAAATGAGAAACGCTATAACATTTCTTCGATCTTTTATTTTCCTTCTCAGTACAAAATTTGGATGTGTTGAAAATCGAATAATTTTAGGGTAATTTCTTTAAGATTCACTAAAATATTTAAATTTATAACTGGTGCAATATTGGAGCCTACAGAGTTCAAAGGGTCAAACGCTTCGAATATTCGGAACGCTTAGGGCATTTACGGTTTGAATCGCCACGTTGCAATTCTGGAAATGATAATTAGGGTTATATTAGAAAGACACAAGTCGCAATTTAACACTATTTCTACCGAAGTTGTCCAAAGACACCTTCTGAAATTTTAATTTAAAATTATTTTCTCAGTTTAATAACCTTTCCTCGATTGAATTTTTTTAATTTTAAGTTAAAATTATTTTCTCAGTTTCATCATGTTTCCTCGAATGAATTTTCTACACTTCCTATAATCAATTTTATAATCGTTATTGGAAAGGTCAAGAAGTCAATTCAGAGTATGCGACATAACTTGGAAAATATTTTTAACTTAAAATTATTTTCTCAGTTCCATCATGTTTCCTCGATTGAATTTTGTACACTTCCTATAATCAATTTTATAATCGTTATTGAAAAGGTCGAGAAGTCAATTCAGAGTATACGACTAAATTTGGAAAGTAATTTTAAGTTAAAAATTCCAAAGGTGTCTTTTGACACCTTCGGTAGAAATAGTGTTAAAACAAGCGGATGTTCACTATTCATGAAGATCTATCGCCGCGCGGCTATAAGCCTCTCGACATACATATCTATCGAACTGAATCATTCAAGAGCACCTTGTGCTCGATATATGCATCGACCTCACACTGAGAGTATTAACTCTTTTCACTCGGAAACAATTTCTGCGGTTGTCTGTAACTCGAATCGATGACTGTATGGCAGCCTGTTAAATCGGATTAGCTCGTGCTCGTTGTGCTTAAAGAATAGAAAGATTTACATGCAATATTAAACTCCGTGTTGTACGTAAATATGTGAAATATAGAAACGATAACTTTGTTTCTTATATTATGATATTGTAACTATGAGATAACTATAACTATAAGTTATAATGTTATTATGATTATAGAATGTATATAGAATTATAAAATATAAAATAATTAGAATTATAGAATTATATATAGAATTATAAAATTATGTATAAAATTGTAGAATTATCTATAATTCTATAATTCTATAATTCTATAATTCTATAATTCTATAATTCTATAATTCTATAATTCTATAATTCTATAATTCTATAATTCTATAATTCTATAATTCTATACGTAATTCTATAATTCTATATGTAATTCTACAATTCTACACATAATTCCATAAATCTATACACAATTATATTACATACATTCCATCACTCAATTCATCTCCAAGAAAATCCCCTACAACTCACCGAAAAACAAAATCTTTCTCTTCAAAGATTTCCGAGTGCAAAGGGTTACTCACTGTCATCTACCATCAATGTATCTCTTTCGCTTCTCCTGTTTATCATAAACCGTTCATCAACAGCGTTTTCAAAGGTACCTAGCGAAAGGCTCACCCTATATTAGCATCGCGTTTCACTCGCGACTCGATCCCCGTTTTACACCGTTGATTTCCGCCGCGACCCGTATCCCGCTCTTCCCCTTTTCTTCCCCGTTTCCGTGGACCGGTCGATTCGCGTCGGAACCGGCCAATTCCCAGCCGCCGAATTTCTTCCCGCGAATCGATCACCATCCGCGAATAGACAGGGGGGAGACCGAGCGTCTTTTGTAGGTCACGAGTTTCCGCGGTTCGCGGGCGGAAGTTAATCGGCGTCGCGACGGATTCGACAGCTTTTCCACGAGAAATTGATCCCGGCTGTTGCGAGAGGGGATGCTGGTAAATCCCTGATGGATTTAGCCGATCCATTTAGCCGGGAAACCTCTCGGAGAAGGATTTCTTACGGTCGAAAGAGTCGAACGAACCGATTATAACGCGACGGTATACTTTCCTCCGCTCGTCCATCACCGGCGGAGATTTCTTCTAACTTTCTTTCGTGGAAATATCGATCCCGCCTGGCGGATAAGGCCTCCCTGACAGATTCAGACGATGCGTTTAACTGAGAAACATCTCGCAGGAAAATTTCTACCAGTTACAGGCTCGAGCGAACCGATTATAATGCAACAACGCAATTTCCTCCGCTCCGCCATCTTCGACAAAGCTTTCAACTAACTTCTTCTGTTAACTAAAAATACAGATCGATACATTCGAACGACTCGTTTAAGTAACGTCTCAAAGCGAAACGCGAGTCGAATGAAACGATTATAATGTTATAGTATAATTTCCTCTGTTCTTTTATAATTGATAACGCTGTCGCTTAGCTTCTTTTATTAGCTACGTGGATGCCTCTGGTATTATGTGCAGACGATTTATTTAACCGAGATCTGACAATACTTTGCTTCTCCATTTCTGACGAATCTGCTCAGCTTCTTACTAATTAGAAATATAGACACCAACCCTTGGTACTCCCTGGATCGCACAGTGCGGCATGCGACGAAATCCGAGATTCAACCATTCATATAACGAATATTGAAGGTTACCTACTGCTAAGTAGTCCCTCCCATACAAAACGATTCTCATTACAGAAATACTAATTTTACAAGTAAATTCTGTTTCTTGATTTACATAACGTTGGAATCGAATCGTGAGATATCCATTGTCATTGCGGAAAACCAAGTAATATTCCCATAACGTGACAAAAATATAACCACTGTATATTCTGCTCTATATTCTACAACCTTTTGTATTTGAACTCTACAACTTGTTTGAATTTTTTGAATGAAACTCGATAACATAAGATCTGTGATTGGTAGAAGAAGATGCTTCGAACAAAAGGTTGTAGAGTATAGAGCAGAACAGATGATTACATCTTCTCAGACTGCGTTTTCTAGACAAAACTCAAAACCTGCGATCTATGAGTGATACAAGAAGCTGCTTTAGACAAAAGATTGTAGAGTATAGAGCAGAACAGATGATTATATTTTCTCAGACTGCGCAAATAAGCCATTTTCTGAACAAAATTTAATAACTTGAGATCTATGAGTAATAGAAGAAGCTGCCTCATACAAAAGATTGTAGAATATAGAGTAGAACAGATGATATTTCCTCAGACTGCGTTTTCTAGACAAAACTCAAAACTTGCGATCTATGAGTGATACAAGAAGCTGCTTCCGACAAAAGGTTATAGAGTACAGAGCAGTACAGATGATGATATCTTCTTAGACTGCGTTTTCTAGACAAAACTCAAAACTAGATAACTCTGAGCGATAGAAGAAGCTGCTTCAGACAAGAGGTTATAGAGTATAGAGCAAAACAGATGATATTTCCTCAGACTGCGTTTTCTAGACAAAACTCAAAACTAGATAACTATGAGTGATACAAGAAGCTGCTTCAAACAAAAGGTTATAGAGTACAGAGCAGTACAGATGATGATATCTTCTTAGACTGCGTTTTCCAGACAAAACTCAAAACTAGATAACTACGAGTGATACAAGAAACTGCTTCAGACCAAATGTTATAGAGTACAGAGCAGAACTTACGATACTTTCATTACACCATGAGAAACCCATCAGGATTTCCCACTGACAACGGACATTTCGCGTTTCGATTCCACAGCGACGGCAGGTCGTCCTCGGACCGCGCGGCGCTAAACATTACAAAGGGAGACGAGACGCGCAGCAGCCGAACTGAAAACAACGGTCTCCTCCGGCTGGTCGTTCCCATTAGCGGCGGTCGCGTCGTCGAAGGGGGTATCGCGCGCAAACGTTCCACGGTGTGTTGCACTTTGCGGCCGTATCGAGCGGTGCGTGGCACCGAGCCAACCACTTGTCAGGACTTGCCCGGTTGTTCACCCTACTTCTGGCACACCGGGTACAAGTTGGTGACCGATATCGAGTCCCGCGGAAGGGTCCGTCGATCTCCCTGCGTCCCAGACGAGTTAGCCCCTGCGGCGGCTGCGGGTTTCCGTTTCATTTTTAAACGTACGGGAAAATCGGCTTCCCTCGCGGCGCGCGTGCCGGCTCGTACCGTCCGCGTTTCCGTGCCACCGGACCGAGAACGCCGCCGGAAACTCCTCGGCGAACCACAGGGAAACCCGAGATCGATCCTCGGAGCCGGCACGGCGAACTTTGGGGATGAAAGTTTGTTAGGACCGCTGCGACAGACCGTAATGGAGACAAGCGTGGGCGCCGTTAACGACGGGGTGACTAGACGCCGGTGATTTTTTAGTGGGGTATCAATGGTTTTTTGAATATGTTTTATTTAAAAGAAATAGTAATAGATAATTGAGTAAAATACGAATAAATAGACACGATATAGCTCGCAGTGTACAAAACGAATGTTACTTTGCATCACAAACTAAAAATAATATGTTACTCTTATCTCCATTCTAACTCGTACGGATCTCAAGCGTGCGTTTTCTCCTCCCCTTTCTTTACTTCTCACACACGTATAAAATCTCGTCGGCCCAGCCACCCGACGTTGACCGAAAGCTCGTTTATTCGCGCGAACAAGCATCGCGCACGCACAAGTTGCAATCCGGGATGCATTCTCTTCCCTATTTCCAACCGCGCGACACTCCAATCGATACTTTCCGGCCGCTGACAGAGCGTGCACGCGTTTTATTAGACGTTGGCAACGAGCAATTAAGAGCCCGTCGGTCCGACGAGGTCCCACTCGAATCCGACGTCAGTTGAAACTGTGCCCGACGTGTCTTGTGTACTTGACGTTTCAGGACAATTGCTGATGACTCGCAGGAGTCGACTATCTAGCATCTGCGATCCCGACGGCGAGATGATATGTAAGCCCCCAACACGTGCGCGAGTCGCTCGTGCATCAAAGCGATCAACTCTGCTATCCGAATCGTTCCAAAAACTTGTATCCGTTCATCTAGGATGTTAATCAGTCGGGAAAATATTTTATCCTAATTAAACCATACCAGAGATCACGAAAACATTTTAACACTAGAACGTAACAGGAAAAATGACTAGTTTCAATTCCTTTGTTTAGCGATTATCGATATCTTCGAAGCATTGAATATTCGAATGATTTTGAAAATAGTTTCATTTGAGTACTATAATGAATGTCTGAAGAAAATTTGAGTACTATAATGAATGTCTGAAAATAATCTGTTATTACAATTTTTATAGGAATTGCATATTAATCGTATTAAATGCTCGGTCTAGTGTTAATACTATTATAAATAATATAATAATTTCTAGAACATCCTTTCATTACCATGCATTAACCCTTTGCACTCGAAAATCAATGATATGTTTTATAATTAACACTAGAACTACCGTACCAGTCAAAATGACTGACTTTTTTGTTTAGCAATTACTGATATCTTCGAAGCATTGAATATTCGAATGATTCTGAAAATACTTTCATTTGAGTACTAATGAATGTCTGAAGCTGAAAATAATCTACTGTTACAGTTTTTATAGGAATTGCATATTAATCGTATTAAATGCTCTGGTGTTAGAATCCTCTGAAACATCCCCTAGATTCGATTTAACCGAGAAATCAAACTTCCCGGTTCTTAATTCAGAGTTAATCGCTTTGCCTAATGAATGGCTCGTGCACCAGAGTTCTCTGCATTTACGTTCACTTTTACCGAGAGACCATTCGTACGGATCGAAGTTGATCGTGCTCGATCGGCACGCGAGTTTACAGGATCAGAAGTGACGCGCGACGGTCGTTCCGTTATCTAAACGAGCGACGGTAATTAAGTTCGATTAAATTGGTACCGCGAGCAGCCGGAATAATAGACGAGGATACGGTGGGCCGGCTCGCGCCAGTCGGGTGACGTTTCTTTCGACGCGCATCAATATTTATCGGGACGAGCCGCCTCGTGTACGGCTGCTTGGACGTCTCATTAACTGGTTTATCATCGTTACATAAAGGCCCGCCGCGATCGTTAATGCGCCGCGGCCACGTAAAGCGGATCACGCGGATGAATACGCATCTTCCTTCGAGCCTTCGCGCCGGGAAAGAGGAACTCGCGGAACTTCTACGAATGGTCTCGATAAACGGGGCAACGGCAGCTGATGTGGAACCGCCGATTTTTTAAGAAAGGCTTAAAGAAGATATAATATCAAGAAAGATAAAAAAATAAATAATTAAGATAAAAAATAAATAAGAAAGATAAAAAAATCTCAATGGAACCTGCGTCGAAACAGGAAGGAATTAACACGTTCGCGAATGATATGGCATTTATATTTATTGCGATGTCAAGTTACTTGGATGCTATAACAAAATTATTGTACTATTATACTATGACAGGAAGATATAGTTGATAGTTTAATTAATAGAAATATGATAAAATATAAAATATACTGCGAAATTGTTATGCTATGACAAAATTATTAGGCGTTTGACCCTTTGCACTCCAAAGATGCCTCTCAGTCACCATTCGATTGGTGCATCAAAATTGTAAAATTTCGTATTTAATTTAATTTAATTTAAAATTTAGATTTATTTACATTATTATAATGTAAAATTTCGTATTTAATTAAGTATTGAATTTTAATAAATTTGATACGTGAAACGTGGAAATAAAACACCATTGTTCCCCTTATTTCGTGAATAGATTCCTCGTTGAGTTAGTTTAAAAAAGTCACCTATATCCCATAAAAATAAATGGAATATTTCTAGTGACAAATTTTTCGAGTGCAAAGGGTTAATTCCACGTAGCCTTAATTTTTTAAGATTGTCACGCATTTCAACTCTCGGGGAACTGAATTTTCATTTTTACCATTTTCGCAGCTCATTAAAATTCTTACTGTCGCGAACGTGTTAATAAGTATTCGTACGCTGATTGGTAATGCAGAGATTTGAATTGTGAATACAGTCGAAGGCTGGGAATTGAAGAAATGGCACCTAATATGGAACGCTTGGGTCATTCGAACAAAGTCCATTTTTATCACGAGAAATTAACCAGTTAACTGTGGAATTAATTGGAAAAACCTATCGTTCTGCGCGCAATAAAATAAAATGGAGCGTGTACTCGTTGAACGCAGGACGAATGTAGAGTATATTTTAATGAAAGATCAAAGCGAAACAAAGAATTACATGTTTATGTGAGAAAATGAAGAATTCATCGCTAAAGGAATTAGTACCATGTCGAGCTTCATTATAACTGCAATATTGGAACCTACAGAGTTCAAAGGATTAAAGAATCATAATAACCTTTAGAATACGTCAATTATTTATTATTCATTTCTAAAAAACTATCTATAAAGAATAGTGTCGATTTCTTTACAGTATCCTCTCAATATATCCTCTATATGTTATAACAAGTTCTTAAAACTTTCATTGTGTAAAGATCCAAAAACAACACCATATAAACATTGAATTCTTCTCTTCTCTTCTTCTTCTCTCTTCAATTTACGGTCAAACCTGTTTTTGTGCGGTCCTTTTCTACGCGATTTATTTTATGCGATTTTTTTATGCGGTATATAAATTCCAACGATGTTGTTTTTCAAGTGACAAAATTGACTTTGAGCCAGTCCACCACAAGAAGATGCGCGTTTTACGACGAGTAGCAGTGAATTATATACATTGTGAAAATTTCTCCATCTATGAGAAATTAAATTTTTTCAAAATGATTCCATGTGTAATTTAATTATTTATTCTTTTCGAAAGCATTCTCTCACTACTTTGTAACAATTTTGTTTTCTGAACATTTTTTTGTGCGGTTTCTTTCATGCTGTCCTATCCACCGCACAAAAACAGGTTCGACTGTATATAACAAGTTCTTAAAACTTTCACTGTGTAAAGCTCCAGAAACAATCTAGCAACTAACACATAAACATTGAATCCGAAAGAATGAATAAACGAATCTTCTCTTCAATTTACATTACGCTAATTCTCTTCTATACAAGAGACGACACGAAGATACTAAACTTATTTATTCCCATAAGATCGTGCTCCATATTAGGCGGCGTTCCCCATTAAGCGCCGTTACCCCGTGCTCCATGTGATTTTTCGATGCACAAGATCTCCACGTTTGTTCACGCAGCAGCACGATCGAGCAGCTTCCACGCGAGCAGCGCGATCCGGGGAACCGTTGCAAAATGTTTTCCGCCTCGCGCGATCATCCGGGCGTGTGCATGCGTCATCGACGCGGGTACCCTGTTTCTTGCACCGCACACGGCCTCGGCGTCTCTCATTTCGATCTCTGGAAAAAAGTCATCACCGCATAATTTCGCTAGGTGGCTCCCGACACTGGACATCTTCTCATTTCTCACGTTGTTCGGCATCGATCATCCATCCAGCGACGACGTTCGCGGTTCTCAGCTTTCGATCCCGCAGGAAACGAGCGTCCACACCGTCTCGCGGCATTTCATTCATAGAATCACATGTGCACGCAATCGGCTCGGAACATCCGCGCGACGAATAATACATGAACTTCGGTGTATTGTCACGTACTCTCTTCGCTCTACCATGCATCGATATGTTCGTTTTTTAACGCGTTCACTGCCACCGCGGAACGATCGCTCGAAAGCACCCGCGATAAGGATATCAGCGTGTAATGAAGTAATCAGATAACTGACGAGGAAGCTATCGAACTCGGAAACTCGAGGAATTATGAAATATTGCGCGACTCGACGTCGCGATTGCATTTTTATGATGAATTCCGTTTTGGAGTGGAACCAGCTTTTGAGGAAATGCAAGGTTTTCTGCGGGTTGTCTTGAGAATGGTGGGTAGCGAAGAATTTTAAATAAGAGACGTTGTTCTTTCATGTTATGAGATTGCTAAATTTTCGAAAAGTTCAATATTTTTAACGTAACAACTTTGATAAGGGTTAAGAATCAAATCAAGAGACACTGTTCTTCTACATCCATGAGATTGGTAAATAAAATTTCTAAAAGTTCAATATTATTAACGTAACAACTTTGATAATTGTTAAGACTCAAATTAAGAGACATTGTTCCTTCACGTATATAGATTGCTAAATTTTCGAGAAGTTCAATATTTTTAACGTAACAACTTTGATAACCCTTAAGAATCAATTCTAGTACCTAGTAATATCGTCGCTAATTCCATATCTCAACCTTCTGCACTCAGAAGTTTCTCACTAGAAATGTTTACCATTTTTCAAACTACCTCGAAGAGAAATCGCAAGGTTCCTCGAGGAACAAAGCTATTGTATTCCAATATTCCGTATCAAGGCATTACACAAAGTTCAACATTAAATAGATTCCATAGTTTCCGTCGAATCAAATGGTAACAGAGCCTTCCGAGTGCAAAGTTAACACTAGAACTACCGTACCAGTCAAAATGACTGATTTCGATTTTGTTTAGCAATTATTGATATCTTCGAAGCATTGAATATTCGAAATAATTTTGAAAATAAACAGTTCCACTCGAGTACTATAACGAATGCCTGAAGAAACTGAAAATAATCTGTTACAATTTTTATAGGAATTGCATATTAATCGTATTAACACTAGGTTTACGTCAATTTGACGCATATAGGATTTTATAAACATTATTTGGTAAAAGTTTCAATCGGTTTTCGTTGATCCAATTACACAAATATGAGTCCTGATTGTCTATCTCTACATCTACAATTTCCAAAATCTAAATGAACGAATATCAACTTCCCCAGGAACAATAGAATAAACTGAACAATAAATGCCCGCAAACCTGTTAAATGCTCGGTAGTTCTAGTGTTAATTATTGTACGCGCGTATCGTCATTACCAACGTGATTGCAAAAATGATGTACCGCAGGAGTGATACTTATCAATTAGCAATGCGAGCAACAGTAGAGAAAGCTCAACGTTCCCGCGGCAGTGAACGCGTTAACGAGTTTCGTGTATAAGAAAGAGCAAGTCCACGGGAAAGTTTCACGGCTCGACGTCTGGAATTTGCAGTCACGCCGCCGGCCCAAAGGGTGCAGTTCATCCTGGGCGAGGAGGTCGGGGACGATGCGCACGAGTCCCATCCTCTCTTCTCCGAGATGGAGGAGCTCGTCAGAGACGGCGACGAGATGGAGTGGAAGGAAACGGCCAGGTAATTCCGCGTCATGGTTTCCTCGATACAAAAGATCGTGGGAATGGATGTGTTTGAGTGATGAATGTGCGTGCGATAGATGTATGACACGACTGTGTGCGTGAACGCGTTTCGAATGAATGTTCAAAGCGTAGGAATATTCTAGATTACATTGATTTTCTCCGTATGTTAATAATATAGTAATCTCGGAAGAGCCCCTAAGTTTATAGTGGGGCTACTATTATTATAGATATTGAAAATGTGGATCTTCAGTGAAAAGAGAATTAGGAAACAGTATATATGTATTTAATGAGATGAAGAAACGATATGGACAACACGTAAAAATACAACTTAATACCACGAAGGCCAACACACGACTATCACGCACAAAAATGTTCTCCGCTGTCTCTCACCAAAAATTCGGCCCATGAAGGGTTAAATCAACTTTTAAGTTTTACGTTTTAAGTTTCAAATTTTAACTTTCAAACTTTCAACTTTCATACTTTCACACCTTCAAATCTTCAAAGCTTCAAACTTTCATATGTTCAAATCTTCAAAGCTTCAAACTTTCATATGTTCAAATCTTCAAAGCTTCAAACTTTCATATGTTCAAATCTTCAAAGCTTCAAACTTTCATATTTTAAAATCTTCAAAGCTTCAAACTTTCATATTTTCAAATCTTCAAAGCTTCAAACTTTCATATTTTCTTTCTTCTAACATTCAAGCTTTCAAACCGTCCAATCTTCTAACATTCAAGCTTTCAAATCTTCAAATCTTCTAACATTCAAGCTTTCAAATCTTCAAATCTTCTAACATTCAAGCTTTCAAATCTTCAAATCTTCTAACATTCAAGCTTTCAAATCTTCAAATCTTCTAACATTCAAGCTTTCAAACCTTCAAATCTTCTAACATTCAAGCTTTGAAATCTTGAAATCTTCAAATCTTGGAATCTTCAGATCTTCAAATTTTCAAATCTTCAGATCACTGTGGATATTATAGTGATCCCGGATGAGCCCTCAAGTTTATAGTGGGGCCACTATTATTATTAGACATTGAAAATGTGGATCTTCAGTAAAAAGAGAATTAGGAAACAATGTATATGTATTTAATGAGATAGAGAAACAATATGGACAACACGTAAAAATACAACTTAATACCACGAAGGCTAACACACGACTCTATCACGCACAAAAATGTTCTCCGCTGTCTCTCATCAAAATGTCCTCACGCACGCATTCCCACTCGCTTTTAGCACGCACCCCCATTCGCTCTGTCTTTCTCACCCTTGCACCCTTCTCACTCGCATCTTTCGTCCATAGTCAAAATTCACGCAGTCGCGTACACGCTTTTCTCACGGTCCAGTCGCTAAGTTCCAGACACTCTTCCTCGCATTCTTTCAGCCACTCGAGATTTTCTAAACGCAGTCACACTATTTTCCAAACATCCCGGCGCCGGTCCGTCGCAATACGACCTGGTCGCCCTTACGCACGCACAACGAACCATTCATCCTGCAATACTTTAACCTACGCTAAATAATTCTAGATACTACAATAATGTTCTTTTTTTTAAGAATCTAGAATATTTCGAATATATGTGAAGTTAATGCACGGCGATGAAAGAATGTAGAAAGTGTGTGAGTGAGACAAGAGCATCTGAGTATATAAATAGCGTGTGCGTTGTTTAATTTAGTTAGTGTTTTATTGTGAGCCGTGATGAAATAATTATACTGTTTCAAATAAAATTCTCTTTCTCCTACAAGATTGACACGTTGAACGCCTATTTCATCGAGCAAAATACACGAGATGGAAAAAATACGATGTTAACCCTTCGCGGACGAATGTCGGCGTTCTGCTGAGAAAAACTTCCATGTTTGGAATACCAAGTTGCGAATAAATGATTTAACTGTTCGAACAGCAAGAAATCACACAGTTTCCTCATTCTCTGATTTGAGTATTCAGCGTTTAATTCAGAATCTGCGAAAGGTTTTGTGTACTGAAAACAATCTTCGTCCGCAAAGGGTTGAAACGTTTGACTGAATTGGATTATCGTTGCATGTTCATCGGACTGAATGTCACCGCAATGGGTAGCATTATTTATAATATAGAAGTGTTTGCGAATAATCATCGTTTAATTGAGTGAATTATAGTAATTCGATTCGCTTGGGATTCAACGTGTTAATCGAATGACCAGTTTAATTTCATTTCAACCTCCGGCATACGGTTTACTTTCGCCACTAATATCGAAGAAATGCAAGACAATTTTCCTCACTCTTATCTCAATAACCGATTAGTCGAGCAACCGCTGTCTTTAACTTTGTGGTAGATATCGTTGCTCGAGAAACGAATGTGATGTTACTTTTATCAAAGCATTGAAGTTTGAATAGTAGAGTTAAAAAGATTCTAGATCGTTTTTGGAATTGAGTCTATGGCGCATCGTTGTGCCTCTGTTATCAACCCCTTGCCCTATGATTTATTTCTCTATGATGGATACAACTACTTTGTTATTAACAATTTAGTAAAAAAGAGAAAATTTATGGGTATATTCTATCCTCACTCAGTTAGTCTGTAGTGTAATAATTGATTACAGAAGAATATTTAATTTGAATTCAAAAGAATTGAGTAACGTTTATGTTTGCTAAACCCTGTTTCAAATTTTTCACCACGAGTCTGACATGTTATTGTAAGGCAAGGGGTTAATAGTAGCTTTAATGCTTCCACGGTCTGAAATATTACATTAATCAATGGCTTTCGCGTAAGAGCCGTGTCCAATAGCAATTTCTCCCCAACGTTTCGATGACCGCCGCTTCCAAATGACTAGAAAACTATTAGAATTTTTCAGACAAATCGTAAATCAATTGATATATAGATGTATTCTTCGAGTTTCTATAAAGAAATTTCGAAAATCTAACTACTCGGTGGTTTCATTGGTGGTTGGTCCAATAGGAATTCCCAACGTTTCGCCATCGTTGCGAATCAGTGTGTCTTTAGCTCCCGATGAAGCCAGCTGCAATACTGGCAAAACATTGGGAAGAAATTCCTATTGGACACTGCTCTCACCAGAAAGCTACTCACGAATGTAACAATTTAGGAGAAATATAAATTGTCTGCTCTACTTTCAGTGGAAATTTCATTTGAAGATAACGCGTTGATAATAGTAACGTCATAAGCCGAGAAAACTGCGCGACGCGTGCGCGTCGCCAGGCACAGTGAACCGATTAACGGTGTTTCCTAGGTGGATCAAGTTCGAGGAAGACGTGGAGGAGGGCGGGAACAGATGGAGCAAACCCCACGTAGCGACCCTGTCGCTGCACGCTTTGTTCGAGCTGAGGAGTCTCCTATTGAACGGCACCGTGATGCTGGACATGGAGGCGAACAGCCTGGAGCAGATCGCCGATTTGGTCCTGGACAGCATGATTAATAAGGGATCGTTGTCCATTGATGCGCGGGAGAAGGTACAATGATCGTGATCGTACACTTGGAATAGATTTACGATTCCAGGCAATTGTAACTTTAACCCTTTGCGGAAGATCGTTGAAAGCATACGAAACCTTTTGCACGTTCTGCTAAATTAAACACAGTCATAGAGAATAAGGAAACTGTGTACTGATTTCTTCGAACAGTTAAATCGTTTGTTCACAACTGAGTATTCCAGATATGGAAGTTTGATCTCAGCAAAATGCCGACATTCGTCTGCAAAGGGTTAACCTCTTGCCTTATAATAACGCGTTAGATTCGAGGTGAAGATTCTAAAGAGAATTTAACGAGCATAAATATCAGTCGACTGCTACTAGTATAGTAGCAGTAAGTTGTAGCTAGATTTAACCCTTTGAACTCTGTAGGCTCCAATATTGCACCAGTTCTAATATTAAATATTTTAATGAATCTTAAAGAAACTACCCTAAAATTAGATTTTCCACACATCCAAATTTTGTACTAAGAAAGAAAATAGATCGAAGAAATGTAGCATTTCTCATTTTCGCTAGGGATACTACAAAAATTAGTTGCACTGGCTGATAGATTGCAAAACAACCTGGAGTGCTAAGGGTTAATATTCGAAAACTCTGAATAACTATTTTTCTTGATATATTTTTATATCTGGGTATAGTAGCAATAAGTTGCAGCTAGATTTAACATCTAATAGATGACAAATAGATACAACAGCTAATAAATAGCTAAACCACGCAGTCAAAGGCGCACGATGAAATCGTTTCAGATTGAAACGAGGAGGAACGTGTTCTACAATCAACTCTCTTGTTGTTAGGTTAGGGAGGCCCTCCTAGTGAGGCATCGACATCAGCACGAGAGACGCAAGGACAACAACATGTCCAGACTGCCGATCATAAGATCGCTGGCCGAGATCGGACGGAACCATTCCTCGTCGAAGAGTAAGTTTGTCAACGATCTACCGCCCTAGTATCCCATAGACACCGTAGTTCGATACTAACGGACCGACGGACATTGTTCACGAATATTCGATACTCGGCATTCGCGGCGCCGAGTCGAAACTGGGCGAAAAGGTACAACGTTTCGAACGCATCGCTTCCAGTTCTCTTTATATTTTCATCCTAAATTAAACTTCCCTTACTTCCGTTTCATGCTCCTATTTTATTTGCCTTTGATTCCTAATTCGTAGGGACGCTAAACAATTGTTCTCAAGAGTGACTAACAGATCATTTATATTTAACACTGGAATTAATCAGGATTTAATACAATTGATATGTTATATGGTCGTTAAAAAATTGTTTTCAAGAGTGATTAACATCATTTATATTTAACATTGGATCTACTGAGGATTTAATGCGATTGATATGTTATATGGATGTTAAAAAATCGTTCTCAAGAGTGATTAACCTCATTTATATTTAACATTGGAACTATTGAGGGTTTAATACGATTGATATGTTATATGGACGCTAAAAAATTGTTCTCAAGAGTGACTAACATCATTTATATTTTAACGCTAGAATTATCGAAGATTTGCAAAAATTGTAAGAATAGATTATTTTCGGTTTCTCTGTATATTCGTTATAGTATTCAAGTGAACCTCTTTATTTTCAAGATCGTTTCGAGTATTCAATGCTTCTAAGATATCAATAATTGCGAAACGAGACAAAGGAAACCTTCTAGTGATAGTTCTAGTGTTAAACTGGAATATTAGGTGTATAGTTTGATACAGAGTTAGTTCAGATTAAACTAACCACTTGCTTAACACTAGATTCACGTTCCACACTTCATTCGATTGTTTCTAGAACACCACTCGTTAATATAAATCGTGAACATTGTAGCTTAGAAGCTAGAGTATTACAATATCTATTCCTATACTTACAAGAATCAAAATTAAAAAGACTTAAATTGTTACTAAACAATGCTAAAAAGATTCAGTATCCTTCAAAATGACAGTTCAAATCATTTTCCCGTTTTCTCGATTGATCAAAGATGATCGTAATCTTTGAATGTATATTTCTCTATCTGAACTCTGCGGAAACCCTTCTCTCTTTCCATTGGGTGAACAATATTCCATAAATCGCAAACAATTCTCATTGTACTCTCGTTTCTCGCGTAAACTCGGAAACCGATATACTCTGAGAATATTATTAATCGCTTCGTCAGAGCCTGCATGCTCGAGATCGTCGTGACAAGTGCGAACATTATTTCCCATTCTAATTGGTACGTAGAACATTCCAATTATTATATATCTAATTACTATAACAATTAATTCGACAAATGTTCACGATTCCCTTCAATTCGCGGTAACAACCACATAACCGCGTTTCGCCGTTCGTTTTCCTCAAAAAACCACAGTTCTCTCTAATAAATCGTCTAACATTTCCTATAACTTATTCTCGTCTGCATGAGAAACTCGCCTTGCTAAAACTCTAACGATTTTACCACTTTCCAATCAAATCATCTCAAACTCACTTCCGGCCAAGGTACTAGCAGACCAAGCGCAATTACCACAACGCATGAACAGGCTAAAACTCGTCTCTACAGATACATATTTGGGTTTTGCCCTGGCACAATCAATTAATAATTAACTAATAATCAACTAAAATTCAATATAAATGATCAACTAATAAAAAGAAAACCCTACACCCTCGATTTCCCATAGAACCTCTTCGCACACCTCGAATTCTCGATGTACCTTGCGTTTGATTTTCACCTAGCCCTTTTAATTCGCGTTTAATTTTTCCCCACGACCTGTTTCAGTTTAATCGTCTCTTACGTCCGTCCCGTTTGTTTGTTTCCTTATTATTTATTTTGTTCCAATGCGATTCGGAGACCTACGCACGGGGAGAGAGAGAGAGAGAGAGAGAGAGGCCAACGGTCAGCCGGCGCGGCAGTCCCCGGCCTGCGACGTGAAACGGTCGCAGAACACTAAACGCGTGCGAAACGCTCGACATTTTACAGATTGCGACTGTACATGTGGTTTGCATGCGTTGTTGACGTCAGATTTACAGGAGCGCCGTGACGCCGGGGACGCGTACGCGGCCTCGGTCGCTCGCAGCAGCAGCTGCCCGAACTCGAACACGGCACTGCTCTCGAAAGAAGCGAAAGATCTGAAAGGACCGTACCTACTGGTTCCAGGTATAACGTAGGCCAGACCGCTAACATCCAGCTTCCGATCGCTTCTCATCTGAACGAAACGTGTTGTGAACGTCATCAGCATGCACTCTCTCGGCTAGGGAATTCCTTTTCGGACTCCTCGGAGCGGACAGACTACGTTGATCGGTGGTTCTCGACCTTGTTACGACCGTGCTTCGTTAAATGTCTTGAAAATAGGATACAGTAAAGGGAGAGGATAGATTCACCCTTTGAACTCTGTAGACTCCAATATTGCACTGGTTATAATATTGAATATTTTAATGAATCTTAAAGAAACTATCCTAAAATTAGATTCTCCGCACATCCAAATTTTGTACTAAGGAAAATGAAAGATCGAAGAAACCTTATAGCATTTTCCATTTTCGCTAGAGATACCATAATTAGTTGCAGTTGATAGATTACAAAACTATCTGGAGTGCTAAGGGTTAAAGAAACTACTCTACAATTATTTGATTTTTTACACGTCCAAATTCTGCACTAGCAAGGAAAATAAAAGATCTAAGAAATGTTACAGCATTTTCCATTTTCGCTAGGGATACCATAATTAGTTGCAGTTGGTAGATTACAAAACCATCTGGAGTGCTAAGGGTTAAAGAAACTACCCTAAAATTATTAGATTTTCCACACATCTAAATTTTGTACTAAGAAAGAAAATAAAAGATCGACGAAATGCTTTAGCATCTTTCATTTTCGTAAGGGATACCATAAAAATTAGTTGCACTTGCTGATAGATTGCAAAACAACCTGGAGTGCTAAGGGTTAACATTCGAAAACTCCGAATAACTGATATTTTTCTTGATATATTTTTATATCTGAGTATAGTAGCAATAAGTTGTAGCTAGATTTAACCCTTTGAACTTTGTAGGCTCTAATATTGCACCAGTTATTAAATATTTTAATGAATCTTAAAGAAACTACCCTAAAATTAGATTCTCCGCACATCCAAATTTTATACTAAGGAAAATGAAAGATCGAAGAAACGTTATAGAATTTCTCATTTTCGCTGGGAATACTATAAAAATTAGTTGCGTTGCTGACAGATAACAAGACAACCTGGAGTGCCAAGGGTTAACATATTGCGTAGTCACGAAATATCTCGTATACAGGGTGAGGCACTTAAAACCAGTCACCGGAATAACTTGGCTGCTATTGGCGATAGGAAAAAATGCATCAGGCCAAAATTATTTGATATCGAGCGGCTGATCATCCGATGTTACTAGTTTTTTGATAGGTGGAGGCGTCAAAGAGATATGAAGGTCATCTCTGTTTTTTTTTAAATGGAACAGTATATTTTTTTACTTACACTCTGATAGAGTATTTCAAGACGAATACAATGACCTATTGGAAAGGTCATTCGTGGTCTGGGTTAAGCCAATTATGATTTCCATTCAACGACCCATAACAAGAGATTACGAGGCAAAGATGAGATAATATCAATAACCAGAGACGACAAGGAAGTGTTCGACCATTTCCTCGAAGTAAATTATTTTCCATCGGACTATCGAGGAAGCAAAGTGCTCTACGCAATGTGTTAAATATTTTCAACAAATTATATTTTTAATCTCTACTCTCGAGTTTTGTTATCCTCAGTCTACTTATCTTTCGATGAGCTTAAACTGCATTTAGAATTTATTACCTTTATTTCATCATATAGCAATTAAAACGATCGAGGTATCAGGAGTAATATACAAAAAATTCAGAGTTAATCGTTGATTCTCGAATTGCCTCAAAAATCAACAAGGTCGATTCGAGCCACTGTGGTAACGTTACGAGACGAATGACAATGACAATGTTCGGTATTTGCGAAACGCACAATCGTCCCAACACGAACGCGCGAAGTATTGAACACGACGACGGCCTGATTGGGAATCAAACGAAAAAGACGATCGGCAAGGAATGACGTGGTATCTTTCTTGTGTTTCTGCCAGACGAATTCGCTGTTCCCCACGTGGTCGGATTCACGACGTGGTTCGCGATGTGCCAGCTAAAAGGTTAGATCGTCAGGTGGTTATCGTTGCTATGAACTTTAAATCGACTGCACAAGTGAAGCTCGTGTATATTCCCGTTCTCTTGCCGTCTACTTTGAGAATCTTCTCACTTTCCAGTCTGTTCTCTCTCAGTCACGCAATTGTACATACGTATACATCTATACTCTAAATATATATATATATATAAGTATCATAGTGCTGCAACCAATTTTTTTCATATTCGATCGATTACTCTTCTCACGCATCGATGTTTCTCCTCGGATTCTCTCGGTGTTCACAGTAGCTTAGCACTGCGTCGAATCGATCAATCCGTTCGCCCGCGTTGAGCTCGCGAGGGATCGTTCGATCCGCGAAATGTTCGCGTCTCCTCGTTATCGGTTATCGATTAAAGGCTTAATTCGTTTAATGGTGATTGATGGGCAGCTGCCCTGCGCCACGGAAGAATCGGATTTTATAAATACATCAATCACAGGTTAACGACGCTAAATAGAAATGGATGGAAAGTATGAACTGCGAAACGGAAGGGGGAGAAACGAAGGTCTAAATCGAAAACATGATCTCGATGATGTATATCGATATAAAGACGTAACGTCGGTGTGATTAAGGAAATTAAAGCTTAGCGTCGGACAAGATAAGCATCACGTTTTCATCGGATATTAATCGTTAGACATTGATTGTGGCAGTAATTATCGCGAAACGTACGGTAATCTGTCTTTCAAATCCACGGTGAAATTATTCTCGAACGCGATTGTTTAATATGGAACAATGTAGAGTGAATGTTCAATTGATAAGATTGAATTCCCAAAATTTTCGAAACAGTTTCAAAACCAGCACGGCTTCCTAAATTTAATTGAAAGTTTAAAATATCTTTTCTTCTGCGCTTCTATCTTTTAATAGATATAATAATATAGCCACGTTTTCAATAATAATAACTTTATTACAAAGTAAACATTACTTCACTGAATTTTTATTATTACGTTGTAATATGAAGTTTATTTATTTTTAGATATTATAGTATGAGCATTAATTTTTCATGCCTCCATGTTTTAATAGATATAATAATATAGCCACGTTTTCAATAATAATAACTTTATTACAAAATAAACATTACTCCACTGAAGTTTTATTATTACGTTGTAATATGAAGTTCATTTATTTCTAGATATTATAGTATGAACATTAATTTTCCGTGCTTCCATTTTTTAATAGACATAATAATATAGCTGCGTTTTCAATAATAACTTCACCACAAAATAAACATTACTTCACTGAATTCATACTATTACGTTATAATACGAAGTTCATTTATTTCTACATACGGTACGAACAAATTTCAATCAATCAAACTTTAATTAATTAAACACATTGCATGTTATATTTCGCCGTGGACTTACGCGTAGCGGTCGTTTTTCATTTCGAGTTTATTCACTAAAATCGCAATAAACCGCTTCATTCTTTTCAACGAAACATTTTCCATTTTACACCTCAATGTATTCTCTACCATTATTTCTCTTAAAAAAACACTGTAAATCGTTGCCTAGCAACACAAACACCATCCCTCACAAATCTACTAAACACGTTTCACGTGACCGCGCTCCAGCGACAGACCGCAAAAAACGTAAAACTACGTTTCCGCGTGCAGCGTGTTAAAAAAACAATTGTTCCCTAGAAACTTCGCCGCCTCCCAGATTGGAAACCGTATCAACGCACCGTATACACCGGGTCGTCGCGTTGCCCGAGCAATATCGAGCTCCTCCACTGCGAGGCGCAGCGGTTTTCGCGCGGTTCGCTCGTTTTTCACCGTTCCCCGTTCGAACGTTCGATTCCGGCCGTTCGAGTGTTCAATTGGGACACTCCGCGCGAACGACAAAGGAACGCCGACGGATCGCCGGTCTCGCTGACGATTCTCGAGTGCACGCTACCGCGCGAACGCGTGGGACGAGTCTCGAACCGATCCACGGGGCATGACCTTACGTTCTCTAATTGTATAATACGCACGTGTGCATTCACTAACTGTGTACTTTGACTACTCGATATATATATACATATCATGCTATATATATTGTCTATATACTAACCGTCGCACTTCCGACCAACTAACACTCGTCTCTGTCTTTTCAGCTAATCGACCGATTTTCCGTTTCCTCTTTCCTCTCGTAGTATTGTACACCGTCCACGACCGATCTAACTCGGGGACTGTGGCACGAACATGGAGGATTGACTTTTCGCGGGTACACTGTAGGCATTGGGACTTGAAGTAGGAAATCTGGAAAGTTGATGCGTGGTTAGGGAGATTTTGGAACTTATGACGTTTTTGTAGGAAGTTTGAGTGTTGATTTGTAATTGAATTTTTGTGTATTGTATAAGGAGAATGATGGATTAAGGTATTAATTCAATTGGTATGTGAAAATTGATATTAGAGTGATGGAAGTAGAGTTTTCGATCGAATTTTTGCTCATGTCTGATCTGATACCTAAACGCGTATTTCAGCGAACTTAACCCTTTGTACTCGAGAGTTTTTCGATGGAAATATTCGACATTTTCTGACGAGATACAGGCGATAGTTTGAAACTAATTTAACGATAGTTCATAGATAAATTAAGCAACAAAGGATCATTTCAATATTTCACGTAGCAGTGGAAAGTTCCATTTGGAATATTAAATATTCAACTTGATAGTTCTCTTGTATCGAATCAAGTGATGTGTATCGAAGAGTGCAAAGGGTTAATATCAATCCTTTGCGAACGAAGATTTTTTAAAGTATACGAAACCTGCAGATCCTGCTGAGTTACATATCGAATAATTAACGCGTTGAGTGCTGCACAATTTTACCGAGAGAAATGTACAAAATGAGAATAATGTAATATCTTGTAATACTTATAATATAGAGAAGTTTCCGAATAATCATCGTTCAATCGAATGAATCACAGTAATTTTTGGTTGCCACCTCATGATATCCAACGTGTTGAATAATCATCGAACAAAGAAACTACGTGCCGATTGCTTGCTGTTCAAGCAGTTCAATCATTTGTTTACAACCTAGTACTACAAACATGACAGTTTGTTCTCGGCAAAGTATTGACATTCGTTCGCAAAGGATTAACCCTTTGAACTCTGTAGTCTCCAATATTGCACCAGGAATGATATTAGATATTCTAATGAACCTTAACCCTTTGCACTCGAAAGTTTCTCAATGGAAATATTCAACATTTCCCGACGAGATATAGGTCATATTGTTTGAAACTAATTTAACGATAATTCGTAGATAAATTAAGCAACAGAGGTGTTTCATTTGAATATTTCACGTAGCAATGCAAACTTTAATTTGAAATATTGAATATTCAACTTCACAGTTTTGTTGTATAATCACGTGGTGACTGAGAGTCACCTCTCGAGTGCAAAGGGTTAAGGCATTTGAAATGTTCGGAGTACAAAGGTTAACCCTTTCTATGCTGAAAGTGTCCTCTTTCTATTGACGTTTCACCCCTTGCACTCGGTAGTCCCCTCTGAAGGGACATTTCGAATGTTAAATGCTCCAAGTGTAAACTGTCAATACTGTGCATTGGTGGATAGTTATTAACACTATTTACGGAACAAATCAATTTCACTCATATTGGATTTTAGCATTATTTACTAAACGTTCGGCTCGATTTTGATCGAGTTATATAAATATATCCCAATTATCTACTTCGAAGCCTCGGGCTAAACGAGGAACACAGTTACCGAAGTATCGATGAAACATCATCTACCCTCTGAAACAAGTTCCATTGCTTATAGAAAATGTCCCGCGCGAAAGGTCAGCCTGCCATTCGCCAACGATCAGTCCACACCGTACCGTTCCCCTGTAAATAAAGGTTTAGCCTGGTGTGCGTGTGTGTTTCATGGTCATTTTTAGTGGAGGAATCGAATTCCGCCCCGGCGATCGCCGGCGCAACAAGTCACGGCAGTGGAGCAGCGCTGCACCCCGGTAGCCGCTTCCTTGCCATACCCGGTAATCCCGGTAAACTGCTTTTCTGTGCTTGCTTACTTCACTAACACACCCGAGATACACGGTAGCTAGTCCCCCAGGCAACGACGAACGCGCATCCACGCCCGCTCCGCGAGCGGAAACGCGAACGTTCGCCGGGAAACTTCGGAATCGAAGATTCGACGCGGCGTTTCCTCGGCGAACGTCGCTTCCCGACGAAAGATCCGCGGGTCGCACGAATCCCGGTTTCCGAGCGGACGCCTCCGCTCGGCGAGAAACCCGACGCGGTCGCTGAAAATAACACGTGTATCGACAAACGATTATCGAGAGACACGGAAAACAAAATCCACGCTGCGGCTCGAGCAGCCGTGCACACCTCCGTGCTCACGTATCGGAAAGGTTTGCCGTACTTGACATTTCACCCTTATGTCAATAACCGGTTAGTCGAGCAACCCGACAGCGACACTGAGCCGCTCTGCATTGCCGTTCGAAAGGGACAACTTTGCGGTAGATGTTACTCGGGAAACGAATGTGATGTTGGCTGTTTAACGAGGCAAGTTTGTATAGTAGCGTTCAAAGGTTCTAGGTCGTTTTTGGAACTGAGTCTATGGCATCGTGCTGTTGTTTACTTTTGCTGAGCTCGTGTAATATTCTACTTGTCGACAGTTTCGATGAAATGCGAGATAATTTTCGTCACTCTTATGTCAATAACCGCTTTCCGACAGCGATAGAGCTGCTCTG